TGTGGAATGCCCGAGGGAAGCCAGCAGGAACGAGCAAAGCCAACCTAAGAGCGAAGCTAGAAGGGATACAGTCATCTAGCGATAGGGCCACCCAAGCCATTTGAAGTTTGCATTTTTCCACAACTTGTCGCGCAGGTGTTGGACATGAAACTACAAGATTTAATGTTTGTCCTGCTGGGTTTCGGCCTTGCTTTGTCCCATTCCTTTCTATCCTCCTGGTTCTCCCTTTTAGAATTGTAATGTTTACTCTGAGCCTTTGCATATTGGCAGTTTTTAACTTTTTTGGTATTACAGGGGCTCACAGCTAAGATTTTTAAATCTCAGAGAAGACTTCGGCCTTGGACTTTTCAGTAAAGCTGGGACTGTTATGGCTTTGGGAACTAGATTAAATGTAGCTTGAATAAATATATAAATCTTTAGGGGGCCAGGGCAGAATGTTATGGTTTATATCTGGATATCTCCCTACAGCCGCATGCAGTCATAGCGGGGACCACTGGAAGGTGATTGAATTATAGGGGCACTATAGCTGACTTGCTGTTAGGAGGTGTGGCTTGATCAGAAGAGGTGGGTCTCTGTGGGTGTGTCTGGGGAGGTTATATCTCCTTTCCCATCTTCTCCCTGAACTCTCTGCTTTTTGTCCTCTATGCCCTGAGCAACTGTCCTCCATTAGGCCTCTCTGCCATGCTGCTGCTTCTTAGAGCCAGCTGAACCTGGACTGAAACGTGAGCCCAGATAAACCTCTCTTTTAAATTGCGGGAAAAGGTGACTGTAACAGTATGTTTAAAGCATGAATGATTAAAATTCTTCCTTGACTACCTGCTATGATAATATATTACTTGTTTAACAAAGTATACTATGTACTTTATATAGATAATATCATTTAACAACTGCACTTATTAGATGAGGAACCTATAATTATCATTATTATTTTATTTTTAAAGAGGTCTGATAATGTGTTTCAACTCTCATTGCTAGTACTGTGGAGCTGGAATTCAAGAAAGGGCAACTGGGAAGTCTGTCATCTTAAATCCTTACATTTTACATTATATACTAATCTCTGCACTGGGAATTGGAGATGCACGGTGGGGAAGCCAGCATGGGGTCTTGTTTTCTCTAAGCTGCAGTGCACTGGGAGATAGATATTAACTGAACAATTAACATCATAATGATGGATAATCAGAAACTAAAATTAGTACACTAAAAGAAAAGGAGGCAACAGAAGCCTGACTACACAGGTTAGGGAGGGCTTTCTGGAAGCAGTGACATAAACCAAGATCTGAATAATGAATGATAATGGGTCGGATGAAGGAGAAAGATGACTTCAGGAAAGAATGCACAATATGTAGAAAGACCCTAAGGTGGGAGGGCTGTGGATGTTCATACTGAGAAGAATTCAGTGTGCTAGAACTCAGACATTGAGTGGAAGGGGCTAGAGCAAAAGAATGTAGGGTATGCTAAGGATTTGATCTTTATTATAAAGACAATAGAAATCTCAAAGGGTTTCAGATGTGAGGTGACATTTAGATTTGTATGTTGTAAAGTCCTTTCCCTCTGCAGTGTAGCAGATATACTATATGGAGACCAGAGGGCAAGAGGAGTAAAATTTTGGTGGACTTTTGCTGAAGGCAACAATGATGATAATAATTTGATCAAAGCTGGTGGCAGGATGTGTGCAAAGACCAAAACAGATTCATTACATATTTTAGGGGCAAACTTGGAAATGGCAGTGGATTGATAAGCTTTCTATGGGCTGAAATAGAAAATAGTAGAAAAAAAGACTCTTTGACCAGGTGACCTGGATGTGTATTTAAGATGTCCAGGTGATGATTTTGAATACACAGTTGGCAACAGGGTGTGGCAGCACTCATTACCCCAGAGAGAGTCATCAATATGGATAGCATTCCTTTGGGTAAAGAAGAGGAAGTGAAATGAGAATGTGAAAGGAGAGCTTTTTCGTTGCTGGATAAAGAATTGTGAGTCAGTAAAGAAAATGTTGAGTATAATGACTGCAGCAGAACTGTCAGCCACCTTTGAAGGCACACTGGATGTTGGTGGTGATGAATTGATAGTGACTCCTGTCTGCCCTGAGGGGTAACTAAGCAACCATCCCTAGTTTGGTCAGATGCAGAAAGGGGAAGTCCATGGCAGGGATGATGTAGGACCAAGTTTTGAATACACTTGGAGTAAATAAGAGGAGGGCCAGCAAATTCAACTAAGCTACACATTTTATCATACATTTGCTAATATGGCCTTAAAAGAGCCTTTTAAAAATTTAAGATAACTCTGAGAGATACATTTTATTCATAAATGTGTGTTCCCATTTGAAGCATTTCTTTTGCCTGGTGTACTGGCACATTCTTGTAATCCCAGTACTTGGGAGGCTGAGGCAGGAGATTGGCTTTGAATTTGAGGCCATCCCAGGCTACATAGTGAGGTCAAGGACACTGTGGTGCTGTCAACGTCAAGGGATAGCAAGGCCCTCTCTCAAAAAACCAAACAACAACAAAAACCAAAACATTTCTTTTGGATAAATACATAGAATAATTACTCAAAGAGTTAGGAATAGCTTTCAGGTTTTTTAATGACCTTGCCAATTTGTTTCTAAGGAGATTTCCTAATTTTGTTTTGCTTTGGAGTGTAAGATCCTCCCAGGGAGGAATCCCACCACTCTAAATCCGGGACGCCACGATACACCCCGAGAGACAATTCTTGATGCAAAACACGAGGTCTTTATTCCAGTGCGCTGGGTCTCAGCTCATAACCCTCCCAGGGGCAGAGGAGTTGAGCCCCGAAGCAGGGTAGAGACACAGTTTTTAAAGGAAAAAACCACAAGCTATAGGGTAGGGGGAATTCCGAGAAAGGGGTCAATTACGGGAACATTCAGTTACAAAGGGTGGGGACTTCGGGGAAGTGGGACCATGGATTGTTCAAAGGGGTAGGGTCTGTTCCGCACCAGACGTTTATCTTGGTTCCTGCCTCTTAGGAATGTTTAAGGCGACCTTTTGACCTGTCATGGTTAGCTGACTCTGCTAGGGGTTGGGCTCTTAGAGCTTCTTAATACTTTTCCTAACAGGAGCAGTGGGTATTCTAAGTTTTATTCTTTGCTTTTGGACAGGCAGAAATAATGCATCCTTTTAATTTTTGTATTTTGTCACTGTCTTTCAGTCGCTGTATGTTTTGAGTGATTTTCCTTGGCTAAGATATATATCTCATGCATATATGAAAAGACCTTCCTATTAGTTTTGCATATTAATGAACCCTAGTCTGGGTTTTAGGTTTTGAAATTATAAGCTCTTCCCCTTGCAAACTACAAAAATCAGACACCAATCTTGTTTGTGTTGTATTAACCTTCCTATAGCTTTTGAAATCTAATGACATTGATTCTTCAGAAAGATATTTTAAACAAATTATTTTTAATTTGTCACGTGCTTACTAGCTTTCAAATCTTGGGTTGAAAATACAGAAATCTCTAATTGTCCCATAAATTTTGTGATATGTAGAGTGATAGAGTCAGCTTATCTTGGTTCAAAGAATAGATTTTGCAAATGTCTTTCTGAACTGTGTTTAATGACTTGAATTAAGTCCTCATAGCAAATATGTCATGAAATCAACACACTACCCATCCAGGTCAATCCCTTCCTCCTCCTCCTCCTCCACTCCTCTTCCTCCTCCTCCCTCTTCTCCCCCTCTCTCCCTCCTTTCCCTCTTCCTCCCTCCTCTCCTCCTCCCTCTCCCACTCCCTCTCTCCTTCTTTCCTTCTGTTTTTCAGGGAACTAGTTTACCACCATACTACTGAAGATAGCTTCTTAATGTTCCTATTTTATAGCTGATATCTAGACTCAGAGAAATAGTCACTTAAATTAGTTTAACTTTAAAAGCCACATAGGTTCTTAGAAACGAAGCATAATACTAATATGAAGAAATAGCTCCATTTTCTACTGAAGTGATAGACTGTATAAGGATTTAGATTTTCTTCATAGAAAACTATTGTGGGCAAAAGGGCCCTGTTTGCCCATCAGTTGGAAACTGGATAAAGAAGATGTGGAATATTACTCAGCCTTAAAGAATGAGAAATCAGATTCATTCATAGGAAAATGGATATATATTGATTCTATATTCCTAAGTGATATACATAAATCATACATGTAAATACCGTATAGTTTCTCTGGTGTGAATAAACTATAATAGTACATAAGATCCTAATGATATAATGGACAATGTGAAATAGGAAGAAAAGGGCTAAAGGTATAGGGAAAGTGGGAAGGGTAGGGGAGAGGTAATAATGGAAAAGAAAAAATATGAGGAAATGAAATGTTTGTAAAGGGGGAGGGAGGAGGGGTGAAGGGAGGGCAGGGACAAGGGGGAAAAAATGAGAACCAAGACCTGTCATGTAAAGGTACAAGATCCCAATAATGAATGTCACTGTACTGTATACCTAAAATGTACCAATAAACTCAATGAGGGGAAAAAAAGAGAAAACTATTGTGATCTGTACATTCTCCTTTTCCTCTCTCTTCTCTGCCTTCATTCCTTATCCTTTTATTTTCGTTGTGTACAACACATTATAACGAGAACATCTGATATTCCTGTGTTCCTCTTTTCTCATTGAATATATATAGATAATGATCTCTGAGGTTTGGAATATGATATGTTTTGGAGTATTTTTCATCATGCTAAGGTTTTCTCACAAATATAAAACAAAATGCTCTTAACCCTTTATTTATTATACATTGCTCTGTTACTGATCAAGTCTATGACCCTAAACCAGTTTTCTTAGCTGTTTAGTGCAGAGGATATGACATTTAGATTCACGCACCTTTATACCAGTATTATAATTCTCATGCTTCTAAAGGCTAGAGTGTGTCCCACTCTTAAAATATTAGTGCAGAGTGCTAAGTCTCAAAAAAAAGTAAATTTATTCCAATTGTATTGAAGGTATAGTTTTAGAGCTTTGGGCTGTTGTTTTGTTGTACAATAAAGTTATTGTTTTGTTTTAAAAGTTTCAGGATCTGAAGCTGAGGGAATTCTACTGTGAGGATAATCCACTCTTCCTGAAGCAACCATTTACGGCTAAACAGCAGGAGGACGTTTGGAGTCTAAAGGTAAAGTTTTAGCTCATTCAACCTTCAAGTATTCAGCTGAATAATTAAATATTCAAACTAAGGATATGGCTTAAATTGTAGAGTTTTTTTTTTTTTTAAGGCATTCTGGCCAGCCAAGCAAATGATTAATATAATTCAAATTTACTGGAAATATGTATCATATGCATACATTTTTTTTTTTCTGGTACCAGGGATGGAACTCTGGTTCTTATGCTTGCTGGGTAGGCGGCAGGACCACTGAGCTAAATCTCTGCCCCCACTTTTTCTTTTTTACTTGCTGATGGAATCCACTGTAATCTTATCTGATTTCCAGTGTGACTAAATACAGAAATGGTGATAGTCTATTAGATGAAAAGAAAAAAAGAGATTTATTTTCACTTTGGCCTTCAAAGTATTTTTCTCAGTGCTAAGAAGCATTTGACTTATTTTTTGTAGGGTCTTTATTTCTTCTACCCTCTTTTAACTTTTCTATAGCCCTAGTGAATGAATGAGATTATAATGTGCACGAAGCATATTAGAAGACTCCTTTCACAATAGATGAGTTAAAAGATTGTTGATACTCCCATATTTGAGTATGATTCTCCATCACAATTTTGAATTTTCCAGATATATTTAGGCGTAGAGCTGAATGTATAAAATTGTTAGAGAAGACTTTCAGGAATTTCATAGAATTCAAATTTCCTGGCTATAGGAAATGACCAACCTGATTCATTGGCTTAATTTGTTTTAAAATACTCTCTCCACTCATTGTATCAGAAATACACGTTTGTTACTAAAACTGAAAAAATACAAATAAATAATGAAGAAAATAAAAATTAGTTAAAATATACCGATTTAGAAAAAAGTTCTTACAGTGAAAGTTAAACAAGCTCATTTAGTGAAATGAGGAAAAAAAAAAAAAAGCCAATGGAGGTTAATAAAATTACCAGAAACCTAGTACACAGAGATATATGTAAATACTCTTACCTAATACTTATTCTTCTAAATTTCCTATGCATACAGAATATATTTTAAATTAAACATGAATTCAAACTCTACATATTCTTTAGATGTTTCTTCACTCAAAATGTTGTGAATTTTTTTTAACCAGAAAAAGAAGACTAAGACATCTTTTATATCAGTGTATATTAAGATATATTTTGATAGGTAATGTCATATTTCTAACTACTTCCCCATTGTTAAATGCTTATGTTATTAATAATTTTTTTTTTTTGCCTTTTTGGCCCTGATAAACAAGGATATTGGGCCCATTCTCAGTATATTTCTAGCTTATGTCCATACGATCCCTCTGAATGAAATTAGTAAGTGAAAGAGCTGGCTTCTTTCACAGATGAGCTCTTTTCAAAATTCTTTTCAGAAAATATTCTCACAAATATCACTATTTCCCACAAACACCATTATTTCCTACTGTTATATAGAAAGAATACTCTTTTGAAATTCAACTGTAAATCATTAAAAGACTTGCATTATTTGTTTAATCCTTCATAACCAATTTTTCTTTTGCATCAAAAATTTTAGAATAATTATGGTAATTCCTATTTTAAGCTTACTGTGAACAAGGCACTATTATTTATACTTAACAATTAATGTAGTCCTTCAGTAACCCTAAAGGTGTAGGTTCCATTACTGTCTCTTTTAAAAATAGAAATGAAAACATCCCCTAGAAAGGTTAAATAACTTGTTCAAAGTCACAGAGATAGTGTTGGGACCTTGGCACCGACTTAAGCAGTTGAGCTTTAGCTCCACACTGCAATATAGCAAGGGAGGTCTGGGGAATGGAGTCAGGATAAGCTTAGGTTGGAGGATATTCTGGTGTGTGTGGGAGGCTGGATGAGCAGTTAATTCAATGTGACGTCAGTCTTTCAGAGAGCCCTCAAAGGCAAGATTATTAACGCTTACAGTGACAGATCAATACTTCTGTCTTATAATTTTTGTTCAATAGTGGGAAATGAACTCAGGGTTTCACAGTGAGCTACATCCCCAGCACTTTTTAAAATTTATGTTTATTCTTTATTAGTACATGTTGGCGGTACATAATGATTACATTTTTTGTGGGGAGTTGTTCAGTGTGATATTTGAAATTTTAAGGCTTGGGAGTGCAAGGGTTAATTTTATGTGCATATATATATATGTAGCACCATTAAATTGTATATTTTCAAAAACTGCACTGAATGTATCTGTAAGAGGGGTCCTAGAATATATTATTGGTCAGCTTAGTAATATCCTACTTTATAGATGCTTTTCCAAGCAATAAATTTATTTTATATTTTAATGGTATGCATTATTCTCCCAAAGTAACAAATTATCAGAAGGTAGAAGAGTATAAATAATGGCTGACAAGAATTGTCAACAGATATCCTGAATGCAAGAAACATATCTGGGTATGGGAATCATAAATGGAAGAAGTCATGTTTGAATTTATTTATAGGTCTTATATATTTCAGCAAATTTTTCTACCTTCTATTGAACAGAGTGAATCCTTGTCTGAGTTTTCTGCAGCTTTGTAATGAGACTAGCCATTGAATTCATGTAGCTAATCATTTACCTGTAAAATGAATATCTTGTTTAGGATCACAGGTTATACTCTACTCAAGCCTTGAGAGAAAGAGTGGCAATAAACAACAGATCTAGCAGTACTGGCTGCATTAGGGCTTTCAGATGTGTCTGTCCCATTGACCCCAGTCAGTTAACCATCTAGAAGAAAGTGCATAAGTGATCACGAGTTTGTGCTGTTGACAGACCGGACGTTTAAAGAAACCATACTCAGCGTTGTTGTATGAAGGCAGCTTTACCATATACTTGTTAACTGGAAAGGATAGGGAAGTAGGGAACAAGGATATAGCTATTTATAGAATTTTGTTGTTATTTGAATTTTTAAAAAAATGATTTCAATTGGGATGAATAAGTGAAAGATTATGTCTGTTTTTGTGTCTTCATGGACATATTTTCCAAAATTCTGATCAGAACCCCATGTGAACTATTTTAATACTATTGAGAAGTAAATTTTTTAATTTGGCCCAGAAATAAAAATAAACTAACCCCATACACTATTAAAATTTCAGGCAGTGTTTGTGTAACATTTATACAGGACTTCCATGCTACTAGCATCAATGATGAGAGGTTTTTAGGGAGTAAGGCAAATGTTTGTTTTCTTTCTTTGGTCAGTGAAGTCTTAATACACACACACACATTTATACATATATAT